GGTTCCGATGTTGTATATCTTATCCTTATTTGACATTACTTGCTGTGATTGACCAATGTTTACATAGCAGGTGTTGACGATGAAGCAGAAGACGCTTATTCTTCTGGAGCACCTGGTCTTATTCTCCTTGGGTTTTAATTTTGTTTCCTTTGACAAGTTGGTATGTCCCTTGTTATTAAAAGAACACAAAACGTAACATCTTTCGTGTTTTTCTCTCAAATTGGTACTCTATATTTACTTCTCATTCCAATATCGATATGTCTGATACAGTTGAAAAGAAATACGCGATTATTTTCAAATCTTGCAAATCATTTTTTTTGCAAATCATTAAAAGATCTGTGGATTGTGCGAGACAAAATAGGTTTGTCAATGATTTCATCACGGATGGAAAATCCAGTTTTTTGTGTTTTTCGTTTTATCCCCTAAAAACGAATGTTTTGTTATCAAAACGATGAACAGGTATAGTAATCGTTTTCGTCTAGATGTGATTAACACAAACTTATTATGCCCCCTCTCCATTGTCCTCTCACTCGGCTGTCAAGCTTAGAGTCGATCTCCGTCGGAGTTATCTCCCTTAGCTAAAGGTTTTCCGTTTCATCTCATTTCCCCAATCAGTGACCATAGCTTCTCCCGCCAATCCTGTAAATGACAGGATGACGTCAGGCAAGTATGATGTCATCAACTGTCGTCTTATGATTATTGAATAGCAACATCCATGTCTTGTATTATTATTATCATCATTATATTCTCTATGTATGTATACAAGTAAGTAAGTTGTTATTATTATTATTACAATCTTAACGGCCCGCCAACACATAAAAGGTCATTAGGGTCATCAACCTGTAAAATCACACAGCGATCCAAATAGGAAATAACATCAAACAAACTAAAAGGTAAAAGACAGATGCTGAAAATCTTAAATGGTTATATTACACAAAAGATTAAAATGGTAAGTCATATTATATAATATAGACCAACATTTTTCAGATGACCTAGAATTTTATAAATCTGAACAGTTTCAAAAAAGGTCTTCAGACTTGTAATGTTACGATTCCGTGTCTTGTACTAGTGTTATGTTGGGAGAAGTACACGCTATACAATACCTAATGAATATTGCTTCCAGTGAGATCATTCTCTCCTACTGCCATATATAGGATTATAACGATTTCGTGACGTCATTTTTTGTGAATTAAGCACCAATAAGGTAAATGAACTGTTTACGTTAGTGGTCGCTGATTTTGCATGTTGCGATAAAAAAATAATTGGCGAAAAATATAAAGTTTAGTGAATTGTTTTGGCGCAAGGACTTTGAAAGCCGATGTGACCCCTGTACATCTTTCAGAAGTTTTATTTCAATGTCTAATATTCTTGTCTTAGTATTTCATTACATAATCTGTTGTTTGTTTTCCGTTTTTGTGGGAAAAGTGAGCTTGCGAAAAATGGAAAATAATGTTCTTAATTATCAACCACTCTTTATGAAAGAATTTATATTTTGTATTTGTTGTGCTTTATATAGTCCAGCATGATATGCTAACAAAACTCATCCCATAAACTCCCATCGACTGGAAAGGATCGCGACTTTATTGTGCAGAACGTTTCGTATGTTACGAACATTTCGCAATTTTACGTTACCCTTGGTATTTGAAGATATGGTTAAGAAGAAATACGTGCTTGCTTGACGTAAAAAAAATTAGTCATATAGCTTACAAGATACATCATAATCTAAATCGCTATATTTTATCGTTTCGTTTTTTTTCAATATATTTCGTATTTTTGATATACCCTTGGCATTTGAATGTAGTTATTGATGTCTTTTTCATACTTTAGCTACTGAAATATGATTTCCGTTGTCTGATTAAAAAGCTGAAACTGTGATCGAATTCGCATCCATCATTGTTTATTTTGTAGATCGTGTTATTAGAAAACCAGTGCTTTTATCATTGTCGTGTATAAATCCTCCCTCTTTCCACTCCCACATATATATTGGTATATCACATTAGTCATGATGTATATTTGTTAAAACTCTGAATAACATACACAACACTAATCATTTGTATTTAGACAACTAAAAAACAAATCCATTCTCATAGTAGTATTTTATATAACTCACATTTTGTCTGATTATTTTTTTTCATAAAAAAGTGCAATGTTGATCGTCACGTGATTTAGCAATGTAACATGTGATTATACAGTCACGTGACAATCAGCAAAAGTGAGCAAGATTTTAGTGTCCCCCAGGCTTATTGATTAGAAAAAAAAGAAACTTACGTATTATTTATGTTCCCGTTTTGTTGCAGGAGTTTCGGGTATGACGTCATAACTTCTGGTTTGAATTCACAACATATACATATTACATTAAGCAGTTGCCAGAATCGTAGTGCTAACTAACAACTGAAACCGGAAGTGACGATGTAGTTATCTCATATCCGGTATCAAAAAGTATTTATCGTACAAAAAAAGTTACATATTTCAAGATTTTATTATCTTCTTCATAAGAATAGTGTTTCTAAATTATTATTAAAGCGTTTTTCTGTATTTCAAAATTAATAAAAAAAATACACATTAACCTTGACATGGGAAAACAAGTCAGAATAGTTATTCCATCCTTCAAATGAATTGCTATCAATAAACAAGTACTATCATCTAAATCAAAATATGTTTAACTGCACATATAAGAGTTTGCTTATATTTGCTTATGTTTTACCTATATATACATGTAAAAAACGAATATATAAAAACAAAAGGAAAAAAAAAAGAAAGAAACACAAAGGATTTCAGCATCTGTTCTAATAGCTTAACAATATTTGTCAATATGTTTTAGCATTAAATTTTGAAAGAAAAAAGTCAAAAAATAACATTCAAAGCAAGAAGAAATATCATTTGCTCCCGTACCTTAATGTTTATTTTTAATTCTTGTTTGAAGTTACAAAAAGAAGTTGTATGAGATGACTGCATCGACACTTGGCACACATATGATGTAGACTAACACCCCCATATTCTGTGTATCATACTATCGCCATACTTTTGTTTTACCGTGATTCTACTTGTTAATATATAACGCCACATGTTTCTCTTTCTATGATTTTTTACTGTAAATCATTAAATTTTAGCGAGTTCTTATTCTAAAGGCTTGGTTCATATAAGTCAATAATCTCAGAAAAGATAACATGTCTCCAGATTTACGAATCTTTGACGATTTTTATTTCCTGTATTCGTTTTCGCTTTGAAAATAAAAACGAAAGCATATTTCGCTAAAATGAATATTTCATAAAAAAAATCTTTTGCACCTTTCTCATTTGATTTTATTTTCAATGTATTTAAGGGAAATCTTCCTGAACATTTCTCTAATGTACCACGAGAATATTCAGCTCATGAAATATTAATGATTTACAATAGCAATATCTATGCCATAGAAAAGGTATTTCAGTTCAAAGGAACAATGCTGTTTTTAAGCGCAGTGTGGACGAATATCGATATTCAAGTGATGATTTCTCAATAAAAATCACAAGATAAATATGACGTCATCAATAATTTTCAATAAGAAGTTACCGTCAAATCATATCATTCAATATGGCTGAATTTTCGTAGTTTTTTCAAACACTTCCTATTTTATCGACACTTGATTTCATGGATAAGTAAAGCTTTATAACTCTATTTTACTAATTTCAACAATTTGTGGATGTATAAATCCGTTGATTAAGAGTACTGATGCTATCATTGCAAATAAAACACCACGAAAATGAATGATTTTACAGTAAATTATATCTGATCATCTCTAGAAAGCAAATAGATCATTATCTAGTACTATTAAATATTGTCTTTCTTTCTTTCTTTCCGGAAAATAAATCGGCTTTTCCGATATCAACGCACTCTCCATGACCACGTACCTACATTTTGATTTCAGTGACCAAAAATGGGTCAGGAGTTACTTCCCCTTATCACAATATTCACGACATGGCGCTTATTTTTACTAATGTTATTCCATGAGTATGCACAATATGATTGGAAATTAATATTCTGGACTTCAACGAATTATTTCTGTATAAAAACCATCCAGTTACCAAGATAATGTAAATGTAACGATAATCTACATATGAAAGTCAGCTGCTTAAATAATTTTTTTCTGACTGGCATCGATTTAAACATTTTTTGTTTTGCTTTTGTATTTTTTTTTTTAATTTTTTTTTTGTTTGTTTTTTATTCTGGTTATTGTTTTGCTTTGTTTTGTTCTTTTTTGTTTTTCTTTGTTTGCTTTTTTGATTTTTTATTACCATTGTGTTTTCGTGTTTTGTTTTTCATTTTTTTCCCCAAATATTCAGGAATATAGCCCAATCGGCCGCACCGACCGTGCAAACGTTTCACTGTGTTTGATTACATGTGTATTGGTAAAAATTGGCGTCATCCTGTGAGCTAGAACTTTCTTTAATCAGTTCTCTTGTTACTGTATAGCGGTTTGTTCCAAGCACAGACACTTATTAGTGACTCTTTTGAGGATTCCATTGAATAGCAAAGTATATTTTTTTATTATTTCATTTTTTCGTTTCATTTTTTATATTTGTAAAGAAATGAAAAATTGTTGTTATGACGTCATCAGTTTCGAAAACATACATGCCATTTTTTTTTAAAATCCAGTAGTTGTTTTTTTTTATTTAAAGAAAAAGTGTCATGAATTTCATAACATCTGTACGGTTGGTGCATTTGACATATTGTGATACATACTGAAAACACTATTATGATCGTACAAACGACACACAAGTGAATATCACCTTACTGTGCTTTTTCAATTAGGTATAGTTGACTGAAGTACAGAATTATACTGCGTCATACATCCGGGACACCTGTCTCGTGGATGGCCATTCCCATTTAAACACATAACTAAGTAATAAAATAAATACGAACACTTAGTATTTCCCAGTATAGCATTATAAACATCCATTTCCGGTGAGTCAGTTGAGAAGTCTTTCAACTTCCGGTTCTTAATGGTCAGTTTTTCGTTATAGGGATAACGGGAACGGTCAGTATCGATGACAATGGGGACAGAAATGCTGATTATTCACTACTGGACATGGATCCGAAGGACGGAAAATTCCGGGTAAGTTTTACATAAGTATGGTGTTGATTTTGAAATCATGATAAACTAAGATAATTTAAGATACGCTATGATGAATTAGTATAATGCTTTCTGATTTAAGTTAAAAACTGTTGTCAAAAAGATAAACTTGGTCACAAGATCAGTAGTTTTTCACGCCAAATGACTTTATAAAATACCAGAACTTTCCTTCAACCGACCATGAAATATCTTGAGGATCGTAACGTATACACTCTACAATCTGTTGATTGAATCCCATTTGGAAAGCGGACGAAAGTTGCTGTGGAGGGCTCAACGGTCCAGAAACTATTTTGCTGGGTATTTATACCGGATGGGAACAGATCTGCCATATTTGACCAAAATAAGTAAATTAGTATCTAAGGACAGGTTTGTCTAAAGTTGAAAATACACTTGTTGACCTCTCCGCGGTGCCATGACCAGACTTCCGATATAGCATGCTTCTAATAGTGATGATGTCAACGTTTATAAAACATACACCTTTGTCTTCAGAGGGTTCATATAGTCATGTCTGATGATCATCCGGGTCATTGACCCCAGATGAAGATCTGGGAAATTTGTTTCAATAGTCCTTTCCGTCCTCTGCATAGTGTTCAATGAAATAGTACAAGATACGTTCATCATGACCTTAGTCGTTCATCGGAAGACAAAAAACTTGTTTTGCCTTCATTTCATCCTGTTTAATTATTCATCTCGTTTATCTCTAGTTTACTCAGTGAGTTTATAAGGTTTATAAGCGCACATGACATACAAGTTATACCACTAGGTCACAAAGTACTACCTGACTTACAAGTTATACCACTAGGTCACAAAGTACTACCTGACTTACAAGTTATACCACTAGGTCACAAAGTACTACCTGACTTACAAGTTATACCCGCCCACTAGGTCACAAAGTACTACCTGACATACAAGTTATACCCGCCCACTAGGTCACAAAGTACTACCTGACTTACAAGTTATACCACTAGGTCACAAAGTACTACCTGACATACAAGTTATACCACTAGGTCTCAAAGTACTACCTGACTTACAAGTTATACCCGCCCACTAGGTCACAAAGTACTACCTGACTTACAAGTTATACCACTAGGTCACAAAGTACTACTTGACTTACAAGTTATACCACTAGGTCACAAAGTACTACCTGACTTACAAGTTATACCCGCCCACTAGGTCACAAAGTACTACCTGACTTACAAGTTATACCCGCCCACTAGGTCACAAAGTACTACCTGACATACAAGTTATACCACTAGGTCTCAAAGTACTACCTGACTTACAAGTTATACCCGCCCACTAGGTCACAAAGTACTACCTGACATACAAGTTATACCACTAGGTCACAAAGTACTACCTGACTTACAAGTTATACCACTAGTCACAAAGTACTACCTGACTAGATTAAGTACACAAGTACTGATATATGTTTTCAGACAAGGATCGGTGACGAAACCATTTAAATTTCCCATAGTGCTCTTTAAGAATGTTTTAGGTAATTTTATCGTTTTTCTCTTAACGCCCTCACGCGCATCTTATGTGCTCTATGAATCTTCAAAATTCGGAGTTAAGTCATTAGAAGAGGTTTTATCACGTGATTTTTTTTTACAATTCACGTGAGACTTAATTGATTACAATCTCTGGTTTTATGCCGATACGTAAATCAACATATATATTCGCCTTGAGAGCAACAGTTAGATATATGGCGGGGTTATACAGTTACCATGTTGTCTAATGTTATACCTAACATTCCTGTACTGGCTGATTCCCTGAAAGAGGAATGGGAACGTTGTGCATTTATTCGTTTTTTTAATTATTTTTCGTTTGTTTTTCAAACGTCCATAAGGAAATATTTATATCTGTTAGTTTGAAAAAAATCGCATAACCAAATAATACAAATTTTCGAAGATTAAAATCCACAAAGACAAATTTTGAACTTTAAAACTACATAATTCATGTGTAAATCATATTGAAGCGCTGACAGAAACGACCAACCTATTTGTGTCCACAGTTCATTGTTTGTTTCGTTGTTTGTCATCCCGTTAAATGCCGCAATGACTTTGGGTTGGGGTCCCCTTGGTAGTTACATCACTGAACAACATGAGGGAGGCCCACCACATACTATTCAAAGCGATGGGTGAAATATCTTTCTAAAGGTCACTACCACGACCGCGAGCTGTAAAATATAGCTTACTGAGAAACACACTCCACGAGTCGAACCATACATCTCGAATCTTGAACAGGGATTTTATGGTTGATGAACTATAGACAGAGCTATCGAGGCCAGTTTTGATCACGAGAAATCGTTTAATATAGATCATACCTTAGTGTCATATATGATCTATACACGGAAGTCATTTCCTCTGAAAAAAACCGTACACTGATATATAGCTAGATGCGATAGGCTGGAGCTAATTCGTGTGTTTATGGGGATTATCTACGACAGTCATGGCGATAAACCACCTCAAAAAGAAGCTAAATCAAAATGAATATCACACATAAAAAGGACTTTCTTCTGAAATTTATTTATTGCTCTGTTTACAACCTCTGAACATTACGGACATCACGGTCATAACTAAAATGTCTTTCTCCATCTATCGCCCCTCCCCCCCCCCCTCTCTCTCTCTTCTTTTATTTTCAATGCTAATTTGTCATCACCATCATACAACTTCTGGTTCTGTTTTGTTTCAATGGAAAACATGGAAATTGTGAAATAAAAAATCCTTGTCAATCAGAGAACAGCAACGTCAATACCGCTAGGAACCAGAGTCTAGTTCCCAGTTTCGTTTTCTTAAACGGAACTAGAAACTGGGAACCAACTTTAAGTTCCATTTCGTTCTTGTGAGATTATGATAGCGTCTAATATGTCACATTTAGGAAGATTAAAAGTAAAAGTAAAGAACTAAAGTGACGGGAGAGGAAGAAACAGTTATTAATAGACAAAGATATAACATTTTATGACATATTTTCAGTTTAGTATTTGTTGTGTTACCGAACATGTGCCTTTTTCGTACTTTTTGCGCATCTTTTCCTGTTTCTGAGAGACACAAAACGGGACCAAAAAAAAAAAAAAAAAAACCACTGAATATCTTAATCCTCAACCTCACTCTGACGCACTTAAACCCACGCTAGTAACGGTAATCGGAGCCTTTTATAGTCTGACTTTAAATGAAGGTCATGCGATTATATTGCTTGTAATGTCGATATTGTTGATTAAAAGGCTTGATGATAAATGTCTTGATACGAAATCTATAACGTGTGGATCAAATCAAAGATTTTAAAGTTTTGATTTTCGGTTCCAGAGATCAGATTTCTATTGAAAACCTAGCAAAGCTTTTTTCCTCATAAATATTGAATTGCGAACCTTTCGTAGTGCTCTAAAGTTAAGTGATGTATCTTTTTTAAAGCATTATTTCCATCCCGCACTTAAAACCATGCTAATCTTTTATACGTTACGAGTTCAAAGCCGAATTAATATTTCAAATTCAATAGTTTTAATGGATCTTGGTCACGGAAGACAGGCTAGGGGATACCGTTCTTTCAAACAGTGACTGGCGGCTGAATGGCTATGTTAATTTAAAATTGATGGTTGCAGTGCAAAAACTCGGGAAGAATGGGAAAGAAAAACTAAAAGCTGATTTCATAATTAATAGAGCATGGCAAACCTTATTCTGCATGGTAAATAAGAATTGTTAATATTTTCTTCCTTTCTTTCGTACAAATTAATTTTTGTTCAGTTTTGTTTTCCTGTCTCAAACTGTCAGCATTTGGAAGTTAAAAACAAAACCGTAAAAAAGTACAATCATCTTTCAACAAAATAACAAAATGAATAAAAATAAATGAATCAGAAAATAAATAAAATAGATAAATAAAAAAATAAATAAAATAGATAGAAACTATCAGAAACCAAGTGTATTGAATTTGTTGAGATGTTTTAGTTTCGTACACTATATCGATAACGCATGCGTCACATTTTTCTACTTTGTGAAAGCATACACTGCTGATGATACGGTTTTTTGTGAATGAAGAAATATTAGATTAAAAAAAACCCTTCAGTTTGTGTAATGGGATTCTAAAAAAACATTTGTGTATATATGCATTGAACATGATATATAATTTTTACGTATATTTTTATCTACAATTTTCATTTCCGATGCGATCAGATATCGCCATGTTGTGTTTATCCAGATTAACATCAGATCTTTAATAGATCTAGTTTGAACTATTACTATCATTTATTTTCCAGTTGATCACAAAACAAAAGAGATATGCGCTTTTATAAATCCGCTGTGTGGATTTTTGTTAGAAATAAGCTAACTCTTAAAGCATTCTTGCCCACGCCTTCTCACTTTGTCATACCCTGTATATTTTAAGCTAGCTCCATAATACAGTAATAGGTCTTACATTGGCAGAATACTAAATCTTGGCATTCGAAATAAAAGTCTTCAGAAAAACTATAATTTTTTTCAAGTTAACGAAAAAAACCACTGCGATGGGGAATGCTTGTAAGGGGATTTTATTCACTTTTTTATTTTGAAATGCAATGAAACATATTGATCCACACCTAAGTATTTCTGAAATATTTTGACATTCTACATCGCTTCAATGTCTGTCAAATGGTAAAATCCAGAGATTTATCGGAAAATCTTTTAGTTCGGAAAATTTCAAATCTAATGAGGAGGGAATATATTTCCTAACAACAGATTAAATGCCTGTTCTTGTGCAAAGCCAGATCAGACGGATGGATTCGGGCGTTTTGCATCGTTTTAAACCTACTTTGCATTCATGTACAGGTTTCACTCCCGTTGGGGGATAATTAATGTCAAACCTAAGAACAGATTCTCCGTTATCGGGTGTCTGCGATCGGTATTCATTTTCCTCTGTTGCCTACTTTGTTTCAAATTGTAGACTCTTAGAGTCTCTTAACAGTCATTAAAGTACGAAACAGATGTATGATCATCCAGTTCATGTCATTGTTTGGTTTATTCTATTCCAAGTTTTTCATGAGATTTGCTTTAAACTTGCGAGTTGCTTACGCAATTTTTGAGTTCTGAAGATTTCTTCCATTATCGTTTAATATCTAATAACATTTTCAGGTGGTCGCTAATTATTACGGAAACAATAAAGAATATAAACCGGAACGAGACAGGAAAATTTACTGGGCAGGTGGGCGGAGTTCGCCACCGCCAGACACGCCCACTTGTGGATTTGACGGATCAAAATGCCCTCCAAGTGGTAAGTGAAAAGGCAGTAAACTTGTCTGATGAGCATTTTAAAAGAACAAAATTGAACTGTATATGACAGAAAACAGTACATCATGCCAAATTGGCAAAGAAAAACATGCATATCTGAATGATTATACCAGACTTGCGGACCAAGAAGCAAACTTACAACATCAACCCAGCCAAATTGCCGTTCTCTATGTGTAACTGGAATGTCTATTTCATCGTTTGAAAGATTAAAATGTAACATCTCTCCTTAAGTCATATGTCGAGAATTTGTTATTATAAGTGTTTTAAGTTTAAGTGTGTCTGCCCATCTCAGTTCTTACATTTGTTTCGACCAAGTTGATTTTCGTCATTCACCTTATCGATCCCCATACCCGAGGCCCCTAGCATCAAATGACGAATCAGTTGTATGTCGCAGTTTAACTTATTCTGTTGGACATACTGTTCATTTGTTAAATGAAGTTTTTATTGAAACTGCTATTGAATTCAAGGTCTTTTTGCAATCCTAACTAGTTGTAGCTAGATTAATTTATTAAAGTCATGCCTAAAATACATTCATCGTACGATAACTATGTTCACTGGACATTTGCAAATCACTTAAGTTCTTGTATCTTAACATTAACATTGGAGAATTAATTAACAAGAGAGACAGAGAGAGAGAGAGAGTGAGTGTGTGTGTGTGTGGGAGAGAGAGGGAGAGAGAGAGTGCGTGTGTGTGGGAGAGAGAGAGAGAGAGAGAGAGAGAGAGAGGGGGGGGAGGGGGTGCGGGTGTGTGACACGAATTTTGTATGTTTGAGAATACTTTGTATTACTCCTTGTAACTTGTTGCTTTCGTTTCCACGCATTCGCCTACACAGAGAAGGGGCATGGACATGGTGCACACATATAAATGCTTTTCCATTATCTATTATGATTATGAACAGTAAAGTTTACAAAAGTCGTGAAAATTATTCAAATAAATTCAAAACACATCTTTTTGTACATAAGATTTGTTTATATTCTAAGGTAATATCATGCCTTTTTAGGCAATGTTCTGATATTATCAAGTTATGATGAATACAATACACAGAACACGAGATCCAATTTCCGGTCTGGTAGATTCTGTAATATCAGCAGTCTTTAAGGATGGATTCCTAGTGGAATACAGAAGTATAGTTCAAAGATGTGTAAACAGCAAATATAGAGGACCTGACAACATTTAAGGACGAATTACAACTGTTCTGTAACATTTCAAAATACCGGACTATCTAAAATCTACCACTAGAGTAGTTACTAGGTAGAGATAGTACATAAATCCGGTGTTTTGAATACTTACTCTGTTCTAAGGATGACTTACCTAGTATGCTGAAACATGTCAAACTATTAAATAGTTTTAATTCTACCTACGGATGTTGTCTGGTCCTGCCAATTATAATGAATGTTAAAGATAATGATATTTAATTTACATTAATTTGTAGAACCATTTCCGGAGTATGGAATTGTGATTATTGTCCTTGGGTCACTTCTGGTCATTGTCCTGGTCGCAGCTTTTTTTATATACAGGTAAGAAGACATATACGTCCCAGCAGGCATTGTACGTCAAATTTACGTCATATTTTCGTCAAATGATGGTCAGGACGTCACTGACGAGTATTTGACGAAGATCTGACGTAAATACCCTGACGTCAAATTGATGTCAGAAGTAAAACGTCAGATGTACGTCAAGTGGCCAGAAAACCTGACGAAAATAAAATGTTCACAAAATGTTGATTTTGATTTCAGAAACGATCTCGGGTAAGCGTACTGTTACAGAAAATACTGCTTGTCCCACCTCCCGCCCCTTCAGTTCTAGTTTTGTCATGATTGAAACAACATTCATGTGATATGATACTCTTTATCCTTCATTAAGCAGTTCTTTCTACAGCTTCATAATTTTAACCAAGCTGTATAAATGGAAAAAAATATCTTGGTATATATTGCGGTTGATGTCAATCTGATTAAAATCCAGATCCCAAAATACATCACCAAAAGCCGGTGGGTTTTTTTTTCTCTTGTTACCTCCCTTTAATGGCACATCGAAATTTCGAAAAATAAAATCATCACAAATACATCTACACGATAAGAAATTGTTCTGTGTCAACAAAAAGCTTTTGTTGGCTATTTGATGCTTTAATTTAAAAATTCAACTACTTTTAGTAAAATATGGAACGATATGAATATCATCACCGGAGTAGTTCGTTCATACTTCCTGTCATTTGAAAATTCTAGCGGGCGCTGAGTGTTACGGCGGGAAACGAGGTCACATCGGTTTTTGAATGTTTTTACATTTACGTTTGGATTTTTGTCTACAGCTGGTTTATTTTGCTTCATTCTCGGAAAAGGTGAGTTGGTTTATCGCTCAATGTCTGAATTTGCACCGTTATAATTTTACTTTACAGATTACACGAGGTTACACAACTCGTGGCCACCGGATATGGTATTTCTTTCACTCGAAATAGGCTAGTTATGTTTCAAAAGTTATGATAGAAACTCGCTAAAGCTTGTATCTTTTGTAACTTTAAAAAAAATAACCAACTCGAGTGAAAGTAATGCAATAACCAGCAGTATTTTCTCTACTTCTAGCCATACAGAATACACAAAGAGATACAGCACTTTTTTGCTAAAATTTTCATATAACGTATCTATAAATCATTTTCACAAGTTGAATTGTTTTGGGATTTTTTAACCAGGTTTACTGTGCATACATCAATATTTTGACAAAATTGGCTGATATTTTGAGAGAAAAATAGTTAATGTACAAATGTAGGTATGTGTGATATGGATATTCTACCTAAGGGTGTATAAGTTGGGGTCTTAACGGAGGCTTCAAAGGTTATAACCCAAATGGCTCCTGTATGTGTGGTGCAAATTTTGAAGATGCTATACACTTTTTCTTCCAGTGTCCTCTTTACTCACATGTTAGACATCATGTTAATTCAGTATATGATTTATTAGGAAATGTTAACCTTATTGCTTTGCTTTATGGTATCATTGGAATGTCGGATGAATTTAGTAGTTTTATACTTTATCATACTAGTTCTTATTAAAAAAAATAAAAGATTCTCAATTTACAAGTAATAATTTATACATACAAATCCTATAGTTAAAATATTTAGTATACTTAAGTAGTTGTGGATGTAGTGTGGGAGTGAGTATGTGAGTGGTTTATTTTCTTTTCTTTATTCTCTCTTTATTATTATAAACTGAAAATACCATCCTATTATAAAAAAAAATGAATATATTAATTAATTTAAAATATACCGGTATCATTTGGGAAAAGACTCAATCCCATTGTTAATACTAACTTTAGACTATTTATTTATAATATGTTATATATTTTGTTATGTATACTATTTATTAACAATAAATATTTTGAAATTGAAAAAAATGTTATAACCCAAACTTCTTCACCTTGGGTAGAATATTCATATCCTACATTCTTCTTTAAATCTTTAAAGGAATCAATTTTCTTCCCCATTGCAATATTTTTTAACATTAAATGCAATACTAGAATAAAATAAAGAACAACAAATGTTACATTAGTATTAAGATCTATTGCATTGATCCTTTCAGAAAGCACACAAGGTGTACAGACTGCAGAGACGCTGACCTGGAAGCAGTGATCGGGTACACATTAAAACATGTGCCCGACAGGAGAAGTGGAGGAGGAAGACACCAGTAAATAATGTTATCAACATTTATTTACATGAATCTCTGTACCAACAATCAATATTTAATATTGCAAACCTATTTTCAGGCATAAAGTTTCATGGGAAAACTTCCTCTTTTATTATCTCTTATTTGTATTTAATAATTTGAAGTCCTTCTTGTAACATATTGTGACATTCATGTATTGGGAAAACATTGTCAACTTTTCATGGGAAATATGGTATACAAATCTTAATTTTAAGAGTTATTGGTATTATAATAAAATATACATTAATTTTGTTAGGGGCTCACTCTAACAGAGAATTAATATGAACATTTTATGTTTCAAACATTTTGTAATTTGTGCATTTGGAATGTTTCATGGTTGCTTTTTGTGTATGTATTTATAAATTAGGTTTTCAATATTTTATTACAATAATTTCTTTGTCAAGTTTTTTTTTCCAATTCTTGTTTATTGTAAAATCTTGAAAAGAAAATGAATATTTTGTTTCTATTGTGCATGTGTTAAAATAATGACTTTGATCGAAAATTTACACACGAGAGTTCATATATACAGAAGCTTGTTTTTATTGTCTTTAAGACTAGTTTTGTTATATTTAAACAATGAAGATCATGTCATGAATAATTTCTTTTGTCGCTCTTGTCATTTTTGTAAATTTGTTGATTATTGTCATGATACATATATAATTTTTGTGCAATTATGCTATAAATAAAATTTGTAAGAGGAACTATATTTTGATTTATTTTATTAATATTACTTTTTAATTCTTCAAAGCATCCGCAACGTAACGCATCTGAAGTCAGATTCTGACTAATTCTGACTAATAAATGACGAAAATCTGACGTAAATACTGACATAATATAGATGTCAAACATTTACGTCAATATTACTTTCATTTCTGACCAATATTTGACGTAATCCTGACGTCAGGATTAAGTCCAAATCCGACGTAAATTTGACGTAAAATGCCTGCTGGGGTAGTATGTAATTTTGTAAATAACATTTTGATGAGAAAACCTGCTCAGGTTAAAACCAATAATGCACACCAATGTCATACAGAGCTGTAGTATTGTCCTTGCCTTCTGAGCATTTAACCATTGAGAGAATTTTATGACTCGAGATGTTTCCTCTTTATTCTCTCAAACTGGTTTCTCCTTCACGCAACAGTGATGTTTGCATCTGGTCTCCTTGTCGCCAATAATTCTATATTCAAACACTTCAATGTCATCTTTTTCATCAAAGAAATTTGTCCGTTTTTTATTGTATATAATGTGACATGTTTTCCATGCCAGGTAGTATGGCTGGTAGGTTTGTTGTTGTTTACCTTACGAATGGTGGTATTACTTAATTGGATTCACTAGGATTTACGTGACAGGTGTCGTTGATGAAGAAGACAATGTTTACCCTTTTTTAACACCCTTTTATATTCTCATCAGACTGTTTCAAGCGTTACTGTGTCAATGCTACTTTTGTTTATATTTTGACCGAGCAAAGTTGAGATGAAATTTTGTGGTTTTTTTTTACTTATTCGTCGTTTTCGTGTTGTTTTTAGTATCAATTCCATCAGAAAGTCGCTTGGTTGAAAATACGCTTAACTGTTTAAAATGCTGTTTGGCTGTTCTGGTAGCACATTTGATCAGTAAAACCCTGAAGTCATCGGGATATTTGTATCAATTTTGACAACTGTAGACTTGCTTTTTGTGAGAGTCTCCCAAAGGATCTATGTAGAAATCGACTTATATTATGTTTTCATTTTAATGTTTTCAGGCGGCAAAAGATATTTAAACCGAAGTCTGATTGTCAATTTGTTTTTACAATTTATTGCCCCTAAATATCCTGACCTTTACTATGATTGCACATACCTTATGTACCTGTGGGACATTTTTCCTTCAATACCGTCTAGTAACCTTACCATTTTCGTGCAAGGTGCAAGAGAAAACAAAGAACGGAGGTATTCGACATTAAATCCTCTTTTTGAAATTTTTTTTTGAAAGTAAGATACCAAGTCTTATTCTCGGCAGTTTTTTTTAAACAGGAGTTTGAAATCTTTGAAATATTTCTTTTCTTTATATTATGTCTAGTTTTATTGATTTTGACTTTGGCAGCATCGTGCTGTTGTTTTTAATATCAGATGTATCCCGCGGTATAATATATTTTCGCCATAACTGAAATTAAAGAATACAAGAAAAATCATGAACATAATGTAATCATGTGAAAAGACTTTTGCCTCTCTCATTTTAATTTTAAAAAAGTCTTAGAACAGAGAAGACAAAATAAAAAAAAATTCAAGCTGAGCCTTTATACAGTTCCCCGCGCTGTACTAAAGAATTCAGTGACAGAATGAATGGCTACGAATCTATATATAAATACTCTACACGTAGTCTATTCCTGTGGAAGGAAGACATCACTAAATGAATATAGATTAGCTATTTATGATATGACGTCATAAGTACTTTTTTCTCTTGACATTGTTATGACTATGACGTCATAATCATGAACTTGTAACAATTGATTATTGATTTACGATAAGCTGATTGATGACAATTTTTTGTCAGTAATCTATCTATTCAAAATTGATATCTCTTAATAACATTTTTTATTAAGATATGAATATACAGATAGACAAAGTGAACTTCTCAGGGACATGATTGATTTTTCTACTTTTCGACACATCACAGGTTGACAAATTTTGCAAGCGAACAAATATTTTGGCTGGACGGAAATGATATTCACAAGGGAATGTCTCGATATTGGAAAAAAAAATAACTCGTTAATTGTTCTTAATCCATGCTTATATATATATTGTCATTATATTAAAATTATATAAATTCATTTATTTGGTAGATGTGTATATGACCTTTGTTTTTGATATTAGAGAGCATAGTTATGGAATGTCACAACTTCCCCTTGTTTTTATATACTGCCAGTGAATACTAATTTTATGAAGATGATTTGAAATAATTTCACAACCTGGCGTGGGATTAGTGGAAGTCGTGACTTGATCATCTTTACTTTAGCCAACCAGAGATAAGAAAAAAGAAATGGAAAGACGCTTGTTTCATGATGACATATTTTGAAATGAATGTTCCTTGTATTATGACAAATATATTTTCAATCATCATTGTACCATTTGTCTTTTCCGTTTAGACATATCAAGTTGGAGGCAGAGTTAGCGGAGATGAATTGGCGGGTACGATGGGAAGACATCATGTTTGGTTCAATGGAAAACGACAAGAAGCTTAAAAGGCAGGGAAGCAGCGTGAGCTTAAACAGGGTAGGTGATAGTAGTATCACTTCAGCCAATCATAGCCACTGTAGTATCTCGTCAGCCAATCATAGCGATTGTAGTATTTCATCAGTCAATCATAGCCATCGTAGTATCTTTTCAGCCAATCATAACCATTGTAGTATCTCTTCAGCCAATCATAGTCATTGTAGTATTTCCTCCGGCCAATCATATAATTAGTAAATTTGCCATCAGCCAATGACATCCGTTGAAGTATTTTCCTCTCTCGGTTTTATAGTTACGAGCGGACCATTAGCTAACCATAGCATTCTCATCAGCCGTTCATTTCTATATCAGCTTTCTCGGCAACCAATTATATCAATAGTAGCATTTCCATCAGCCAATCATATCATGTGTAGTATTTCCATTAACCAATCATCATGATAGTATTCTATCAATATAATATAATGTAATACAGTATAATGTAATATAGTTATATTGTCTTAAACCACCCATATCCATTCAACAACTTCCTGTATGTCATAGCTTACATATATAGCATTGAATATAATCAGGATTTGACGAGAAGGATATCTCGTCTGTTTGAAATACATCGGTATTGAAATGTTATCTCTACGATTCGTCAAAAGTCGTAATAGTTGTAAAGTTCCTGCAATGCAGATTTGAGTTACAAATTCTATGACCGTTAAGATATATTGAAGCGACCACATAGGAAAATGGGAATAATGAATTACATTATGTTATTGAATATTATTTGTTTAATTTCACAATATTTACGCACAACTAATATAAAGCGGCCTCACTTCGGGAAAAAAATTATAAAAACATATTTGAAATATCACAAGTTTGATAAAATTGTATTAAATGCTTAAATGTTATGATATCATCACCATAACATGATAAAAACATAAAAACATGATAAAAATCTATACTGATATAATGTTATGGTGATCAAATGTATCATGATATTAGGCATACAGATATCATGATATGAAGCATACAGATATCATGATATTAAGCATACATACATCATGATATTAAGCATACAGATATCATGATATTAAGTGAATTGTGATAATAAGCGATTCAGGATATTAGGTGTATCGTAGTATTTTATTATTGAAAAAAACGTTTAAAGCTTCAACATTAATCGTGATCAGTATTTGACTTGCATCGAGAGTACTTCGTTTACAAACACAACACGCACGCACGCACGCACACACACACACACACACACACACACACACACACACACACACACACACACACACACACATACACACACAAACACACACACACACACACACACACACACACACACACACACACATACATACATACATACATACATACATATTACCGATATATCTTTAACTGTTACAAATGTATCGTTGCTGCTGTAACTGTGACTTATCAAACACTCTCTATTGTGATACATATTGAAAATTCTGTTTTATTTGATAATGCTAATTGATAAGTTATCCTGACTGTAATGAAATTCCCATTGTTTATAATTATTGGTACTACTGATTCAGACATGAATGAAGTCATAGTGATATTTTTAGCGTTATACGTATTATTTTTAAATAAATACGATACCATGTATTTTATATGTACAAAGTATGATGGCTGTTATATCGTGTTACGTATTCTAACGCGATCGTGTAGCTGTGTCATATGTGTGATCGTGTGTCATAAATAGTGACAGTGATACGTGTTAAATCGTTGATATCATCTGTATCACAATAAGGCTATATATTTACGTGTATCAGACTTCTGGTATAAGATAGATCGGTTTACCGGTCGTATCGATATCAGGTACTCTAATACATTTGTAAAAATCATATAATATCCGATGAATTCTGGATATTTCATAATGTAAATAACATTTGCAAATCATATGTATGAAACGTGCGCTTGAGTGAAATATCTACCATTTACGATAACACGTGCACTAAAATACGACGGAGGAACCTTTTCTCTACAGACCAACGGTGAAGCATGCGCAGAGGGGCGTGTGCTGATTGAGAGGGCCGACGTCGTCGACCAGTCTTGGTGTAAATGTGGACATTGTGAGGACGCCGACAGACAAAGACGACTTTGCTGCCGACAACTGGAATTGTTTGGCATTTTTCAAGAGGAGGGTACTTGTCTCACAAAATCTAAAGACTTCATGGACGTAGTGCTCAATAAAGAGGTCCTTGTTTCTGTCTTCATTCACGTGATGTTGGTGCGTCGACAACGAGGCGCTGCACCTGTTGACCTCAGTCCGTGGTAAGTGACGTCTAATTTTTTTCATATCCCCCATTACTCGTATATCTTATTACCTTGCATAATTCTTCCTAATTGTGGTGTGAACTGTTTTACTATTGTTCCGATCTGGAATTGGAGTATATGTATTTATATCAAAATTGACTTTGTCAAGGTAATGTCCTGTTTTCTCTGTATTTTTTTTTGTCTTTGGGTACATTCATTTCAAAAGCTGTAATACATTTTATAAGCCCAGATAAGAAAGCCATTTAGAGAATAACCAATTTCATTGAAGTAACAAATGTTCTGTTGGAAACTTTGCGACATCAAGACTATGTTTACTAAGCTATCTTTTCAATTTTCCTGTGAAATACTTTGTATAAACTGCTACAAATATTAAATTGAAATCTTGATGTTAGTGTAGTAGACGAAAATCAAGTTCTGGATAAACTAAAACATAATATTAGTGTGCTTTTGTGTGATTGTATGATTTTAAAATTATGAAAATTTCGCTGCACACTTGTTTAAAGGGAGATAACCCATTCTGGTCGTCAGTAATGTTGTCTTGTATATCAGCGTGATTTCTGTTTCAAATTGAGTTTTTGTTAACTAATGACTGCTACACAACAGTTGGTTTACTCTTCGTGTTCCGATCGATTAAAGATCAATGCCTCGCTTATAACAGAATTGTAATCAGATTATACCGGGTTTGGTGGTCGTTGTCCAAGGCTAGATGTAATAAGTTGTGACATAGGTCAACTCAGTTCAAGTTCACAAATTCAGTATCTTTACTTCGACTCCAACAGTGGTGTTTCCCCATTTACAATAATTTCGACCAGGAGTAATCAACAGAGCGCCTCCTTGATAACCTTTTTGGTGATATCCTCCATAACTATAAAAATAGCAATTTTCCTAGAAATATAATAAAGGTGTGTAAATCATTATTTTTTTCCCCATTTCTGCTTTGCTTACATCATTTTCGACAAAAACCTGATTTTTTTGTCAATTGCAATTAAATGTTGCATTCTTTGTATAATGGAAAAATAATACTTCATAGTCAGTAATGATTTTCACTTAATTTTGAAAGTAATTGTAATCTTAACAAAGAATGGCAAATTGAACCTACGATATCACGATTTTCATGACTTAATTGCCTGCTAGGTTGAAATAATTTAGAATATTTACATCACTAACGAATTTCAGAAGGACGAAACGGCTGTATGATGAAAGTTCATTCATGGTTTCACCCTACCCTACACTGTATCTGTAAATTGCCTTATAAATTGATATACACTTGTGTGTCTTTTGTAAAGCCTAAATCTCAATCCATGCGCTGTTCTTTTTTACTGTTATATATTACTGTATATTTGTTAATATTCGTGGGGAATTTGTTTCGTTTAATTAATTGGGTAATATGCATCTGCGAATTTATATATACACGAAACAAGTAACAGATAAAAGCTAAAATGAATTTAAGTACCAAAGGAGTTTATTCAAAGCATTAAAAAATCTACAATTTTTTAATAGTTATCTTTGCTTTATGGGAGTTACTGCGAGCATGGTTCAGTGACTGATTTAATTAAAAGTATAGTAATTTTTTTAAAATTCGTCATACCCAATATGTTATGATTTTTATTGTTCTTTTCTATCAATTTATCTATATTCACATATTATTTGTTAAAGTTATCAGCGTTTCGTTAAAGTGTTGATATGAGTTTAAGAAATTACGAAAGAAAAAGATAAACAACATATTGGATATTACATTTGCCGCCAATTTGTAATTGTTTAATAATTTGAACCTTTACGTCTCTAATATGTCGCTTGCAATATTTCTGTGATTTATTTATCAAACTTCTAGATAAGACAAACTTCGCTTTAATCTATATTGTATATCTATTCTTTTTCTTTATATATATGTTTAATATTAAACGGTTATAAGTATAAATTGCACAAAATTAAAAACATTTAATGGACACGAATTAAAAACATAAAACATCTTTACGACTACTCTTGAATTTCTGTAATAAATGATTGAATACGGACATTTTATATAAGACAAAAACCTTCGCCCTTTTTCATGAAATGTGTTCTCAGCCCAACTTTCGTTAAATTTGCTTAAATTATGAAAGTGTTCGGAAGAAAAACATCAACATTTGAATTCTTTCCCAAATTCCTCCAGATATCTAAAATCAAAAGTTCAGATACATCAATCAAGTGTTTGATCCTGACACAAAATACAGGTTTTGAGCATGCGCATGGTTACAGGATTACGGACGCATGATTCGAATGTCAAACTGAATGTTCATAAAATGACGAACAACAAATGTATCTAGGTAAACTTTGCTAAGGACGAGTTAGGTCCATGTGTATTGTAATGGAGCCAGGCTTCACCTATTTCCGGATCTAGTTATACCACTTGTTTTCCTTTATTGGTATGACTATATCAATCATTATACACAGACAATGAATTACATTGTACGCTTTATGATGTTAATCAATGATAAATATCCTGAACATGTTGTAAGACAGCGTATCGATATACCATTTTAAAAGATTTTTTCCAAAAGACATCCAAGCGAATAGCATATCCCGGTATTATTTTTTAACATAAATAAATATATATTTGATACAGTGAAAATCATCATACAGCTGTGATCTCCTTCCATGAATTATAATTGATATAAGGGACCTTTCATATAGGGATCTAGGAGGCGATTCAGGAAGTCAATTTTCCATAAATAAATGAACAATCATGAACCATAAATGCGTAAATTTCA